CACATAACTGTGCCAAAGATTTGTTATATATAGGAGAAGAGCAGGCAGAGCTGGGGGGCAGAGTTAAACATGTCATCAGTTTAGAGTCCTTGCATTGCCACAAAAGATCCAAGTCTATGAATTGCATTGGCCCTTATCTAGTGCCAATTAGTGCTGATTGTTAGTTCACTAGATTCTTGTGAATAGGCTTCAATAAATTGTTTATGTTGCAATCTACACAATGGTCCTGGTTCTTTGTGCCTGACTTGGATAGGACCAAGTTTATATAGATCTATAATAATTTAAAACAGGTATTAATCTGGAACTATTAGCTGTCAAGTGTAGAGTAGAAAAACCAGACCTTACATTAATATGATAATTAAATAAAAAGATATTTGTTAAGGCAAAGAATCAGGACCATTTGTAAAGTTTCAGCATAGATTTATTCAAATCTATACACAAGAGTCTAGTCAACTAACAGTTAGCACTAAATTGGTGCTAGATAAGGATTAAAGATGCCAAACTGATGACATCTTTAACTCCACCTCTGCCTGCTCTTCTCCTACATCATATTACTTAAAATGACCACATGTGATCCTGGAGCCTACCACTCCAAAAGTTGACTAATACTACTGCAAATTAGTCTGCTATGTTACTTGAACTGATGAACAAATAATTCTAGAATCCAAGATTTTAAATGTTTTTTTTAATCGGCATTTAGAATCTGAGACACATCACAGTCCTGTTTCTATGATATCATTAATTTTTAACTTGCAGCCCTGTTTATTTACCTGTAATGTGCAACCAAACACACCAACCATCAACATGGCAACAGAAAGATAGTCTGTAAATACATCCCACCATGGCTTCAAAACCCGGAAGGCTGGCTGCTGTTCAGAGAACTGGCGGAATTCAGTGATAGGAATCATTGTTCTGAAAAAGAACAAAAGGGGAAATGTGTGAAATGGTTACTTTTTTAATATGAAAAATATGCATTACTGTTTTATTCAGTGCAATCCTAACATATATACATATATACATATATAGAGTCACTCAGTCTAGATAACATTTTCTAAAACTTGGCATGTTCCAGATGTGTGGATTTCAATTCCCCAAATTCTCAGCATTGGTGATATTGGGGGATTCTTGTGCATTGAACACTATACATAAAGAGAGAATCCAGGGTAGAAACGATAGTCTAGAAGCGGTGATGAACTATGGCAGTATTAATGTTTCCCATTAGGGAATGATTGATTGCTCAATATCTCTTAAGAAAGGAATTCATCAGACTGTGCTTCAAACCTGGACGTTGTCTCCATGACTAGCTAATCAAATCGGTAATCAGAACATCTATATTCCAATCTGTCTCACTAGGCTTCTACCATCAACCTCCTCTACTCCTTACTTAACTTACAAATTCAAAATTCTGTTTTCACTCCACTGACCTGCCTGAAGTTCCTCATTTCAGAATCAAGTGCCAGCCCAACTGGGAAGACTTCTATTAGTCATTTTGGTTGCAAGCCAAAAGTAGAAGTAATAAATGCTAGATAAGGATCAACAACAGGGACAGCAAATTTATAGGCTAGTTGTTTTCTGCCAATTCAAAAATGAGTAAATAGCAATTTAAATCAGCAACGGGGAAAGTCCCAGACTCTTCCTGCTCACTGACAACAGCTATACGGGAAGAAGAAAAATCAGGAACATACAGGGCAGTCAATTAAGTTAGAAAGGAAG